CAAAGTAGAAATTAGATAAGAAAGGAAATCCCCAGTGATTTTGTTGCATGACATCTCGCCAGCGGACTATGTGGTTAGTATCAGTGGAGGCTCCCCGTTAGATTCTTGGGAAGAGGCTGGTGGTTGCTGCGCTTCTACGACAGCTTTCTCGTCTGCAAGGCGCCAGACTTCTCGAAGTACGCATATCATACGGCCAAAGCTGCCTAATTCAGCCTGCTCGCCCATTTGCTCCATCCGCTTGCTAAGAGTGTCGCGGAATGTGCTGCCAGGAGTTGCAAGGGAACCACAAACAAGTAGTGGCCAGACAATAGAACTGTCAAAGCCTTCTGGGCCCCCGGGGATGAGGTCAAGCAGGTCAGCGGCGTGCGCGATTAGGCTAACGGTGCCTGGCTGGTCACGCCTTGACCCGGGTACAAGACTGCAAAGATAAACCCGAGCAGCAACCCTGAATAGAGCCGTAATGTTTTTAGAAAGCTGTTGTGGCAACAAGACTCCCTCCTCAGAGAATGGCTTCACAAGCGATCCTGGTGGTGGCTCGGTGTGGTCGAGCTGTTGGGCAAGGTTGGTAACATGGCCACATAGACTGGCGTGGTCGGTTCGCCCTTGAATGCAGAGAGCATCAAGGCAGGAGATCTCTGCAATGAAGTACATTACTCGATCCTCGCAACCCATAAGTTCACACAACCCAGCACTTGATCCGCTAAATAGCTTGGTTCGGTATGTATGTGCGAACTGTGGCATTTGGCCAAGCATCGTCGATCCCAAGATATCGATCCAAGCAGCTAGACTCATGCTGAATGGTGGGTGGACCGTTCCGTGATCGGATTCTAGAAGGCGATGTGGAAGTTCTAGCTTGTGTATCAAACTTGTTGCTGCTTGGAAATGTTGGTGCCATGGGACATCAGGCAGAGAATCATTTGCGCGACCAACAGCACATTGGAAGAAAGCCATGCTCAGGGTTGCCTCAAGGATCTGGAGGTGATCAGTGTCCTGGTTCAGAGACGAGCAAAGCTCAGAAACTGCCTGGAAACGATGCTTGAGGATATCGTTGTCGATTAGGTCGTTGCAGACTTGCTGTGTTGACTTCAGGTGGACGGCAGCGATACTTAGACAGCAGTGCAGATAGCATTTGTTCGACTCGATTGCAGGAAGAATGACATCTGCGAAGACACCTCCTCGTTTCCTCGTCTCTAGAATAGGAAATAGCTTGCTAGAAATATTCTCAAAGAAGTGATCTAGCAGGTGGCGGTCGCAATCATCAACCTGGATAGAAGGCACACCTAGAGATCCGTGGGAAAACTCGAAGCACTTGTGGTCTGGGAGAACCTTGGATTCAAAAACATCGTGTCGTGCCCAGTCATCTTCAGCAAAGGAAGGTAGCATTGCATGAGCAAGCGGAGGCTGAAACGTGTTGAAAGTTGATGTTGATGAATCCCGTCGAGTTGGGATATCATTAATGTATAATTCACTTTCAGTTTTAACATCAACTTCGTATGGGGTAGGGGCGGACCAGAAGCCATTAGAATCCAGGTGTGATGCTGGATCTTGAGGAGCATATTGGTCATAAAAATCTTGGATGTGAACATGGCTAGGCTCTCCATCAATGCAGTAGGGAGGTTCCAAGGAAGGGTCTCGAGTTTGAACAGTGGTATCTGGGTATGCCTCAGGGGTTGGGGCTGAATGAGAAAGGCCAGGAGGACTGTACGTGCAGCAGCTTTGGCGAGGGCCCGAAACAGTCTTTTCGGTCATCTTGGTACTCTTGATAAGGTCCTTGATGTACTCCTTTTGCGACTTTCTCTGCTCATTGTTTCCCCACCACATTGGTCGCTCATATTCACATCGTAGCTTGAGGTTCTTACAAGCTCGACAGGCAGGATGGCCTTCATCACACTTCTTGCGTCGCAGGCGGCATGTGAAGCAACCTGAGTTTAGCTTGTTAGTATGCAGGTACTAAATAGAGACTGAGCCGGGGGAAGAAGCATGAACTATAACATACCAGAACGAGACCTTCGATGTAGCTTCTCTGATTTCTTGACACCAGTGTTTCCTTGTGTTGATGAGCTGGGTGAGGGCTTTGCTGTGGGCTTGCGGGGCTTCTTGGACTTGGAGACCGGTTTAACAGGTTCGACAGAACTGGCCATACCTGGGGAGGAGGCAGAGGATTTGGGGGACGGGGCGATGGTAGCGAAAGACATTTTTGGACGGCGACAGTAAGCTTTTAAATGTAAATCAGCTGCAACGAAAAGCAAATGGACCTGTTTTGTGTGAATAAGGTAGAAGATGTGTCACTGAAAGAAGTATTAGATAACCTCTAAACCTGACCGGCAGGGAGATTGATCAAAAAGAGTGTGATAGTGACGGTGGACAGGTATGAAGCCCTTGACGAAGAAAAAAGGGGATTAATTATGTTCTTTTAAAGATTACCTGCGGGCAAGGTAATTAGTTTAATAATGATATCAAGATGCGCTAACTGGCCGGGTTTGACTTGTTTCTATTTTTGACCCATGAATACATACAAATGTCTAGAGAAATGTGCTGGGAGATCCAAACCTAAAATGGGAGCTAAGAAGCAAATTGCCCGCTATGGGGAGCTCAAGTTATGCAAGGAAGCCTCCTTGGCAGAGGCTGACTGGTCAGTCTTACTTTCGCGAGCCGCCCTGGTCAAATTTAGTTGTGCACAAGCATACTGGTGACCAGGGTATGATGGGTCCAAAGAGTGCAGCGGGGATATGCAGCATGGAGGTGTGAAATAGCCTCGGATAGGCTGGAAAGGTGCAGGTCAAGGAGCTGACCCATTTTGATCTCCAGCAAATCAGAGTCTCGATATGCCATATTTGAAGGAACTTCTTCAACACCAACCATTCCCGGTTTGGATGGTATTCTCGGGTGAAAAGACCAGCGTCAGCGTGTACACATGCTCAGATGGCAGGCAGTGGCGACGGTTATTTCTTTTATTGCTAGCCGGGAGGGTGAAGCATCTATCCCTTTTTGGTTCGGGAAAGCTGTCGACTCTGTACTCCGTCCCCTCCTCTAGCGGGAAGGATTAAATGCAGGGCTCCTATAATAGTGAAAAAGTCACTGTTCGGTTGTGGCTGGGAATGGCTAGCCGAGCAGTCTCTTGCTGACTGTACGGGGTACTTCTAGAAAGAGTAGTCTCGTATAGGGGCCGATGTCGACCAGGGCTGGGCTCATTTCTTGCCCTTACAACCAGGCACAACTTGAAGTGGTTGTATGCAGCCTCATTCAAGGGAGCGTTGAACCCTTGCCTTGTGAGGGAAAAGAAAGGTCCAATGCCAGCCAAGAAAGGCCATTAGGGACCCTCTTTTTTCCACCCATCGTTATAATCTATCATGGGTCCAGTGAGTGTGTTTATTGAGTTGGTTGAGGGATCAGTTCGTGGAGGCGAGCCAGCCCAGAAACAATTTCGATCAATAGGAAGAAAAACAAAGAGGTTGGTTAACATTAAGTTGCTGCCAAGCTTCGGGACGGTGGATGTGATTCGAGGGACAGGCTTCCGTCTCCTTCCCTAAAAAGGTAAGTCTATGCTTGGGTTCAGAGTATCGAGAGGTCGAGTAAAATATCATGCATGGTGATGATTCAAGGTCAGGGTGAGAAGGTGGATCTTCATGCACGACAAGGTGACAGGAAAAGACGAGATCACGAGTTGGTTGAAGGTATCGAGTACATGATATCACACGGCGACTTCACCCTCAGCTCCACCAAGGGTCCAAGGCCGCTGCAGGTCACTGTGACTCTCGGTGGACCAGCTTGGCAGAACGCACTGGCGATGTGACGACGCCGTTGGGCTTGCATATTTCACATCCCACAAGGGCCAATGGGAGATCCTTGATGCCAGCCGGAGTGGTTCGATGCCTCATCCCCGCGTTCATCCTTCTTTTCCTCCTTCTTCCCCCTCGGATCACGTGGTTTGGCAGGATTGCTAAAACCATAATTAGCAACAATTTACGTGAGTTAATTATAGCAAAGGTTTATTCAAGCTAATTAACTTTAATGTTTAAGGTTAATTTTACTTCCATTCTATTTATAAATCTGAGTTAATTAGCTTAATTAGCTTGTATTAACTTATGAAAAAGGGGGAATACGGGTTAATTAACTGCACATGACCTGCCTCTTTTTTTCTACTTTGACTTCTTTTCTTCTTCGAATGAAGTAAAGAAGTACAAATCTTTCCGAGTCACAAGATACAGATACCAAATGGAGAAGAAGCCTTACAACCCGGCCGAGATTCGGTGCCCGTTTCCAGCCTCCCTTTTTTTACGGCTCTATGAGTACCTTCGCTTACAGTTCCCAGCGAGGCACACTCCAGCTTCTGGCGACTGGTGGATGGTGAATATGCCAACAACCAGCGTGTTGGTTAATTTATGACTATACATGGCTTATACTCCTATCGAAAATGCTCCTATCCCAAGCCTCATCGCATGGTTCTGGCAGCAGTCATGTTCCGTCCCTGACAAAGATAATATATATGCATACCCAATTTGACTGCAAGGTTATACAAGGTGCCTCGGCTCTGGTACAAATCGATTGCCCATTTCTTACTCCTCTGTATCAGCATTGTTTCTTTCTAGAGACAATGTGCGTTGAGTAAGTGACTTTGTCAGAAATCTCCATGAATATCAACCAGCCAACCTCAATTGTCGAAATGAAGCTGTTTCAACAATGAACTGCAAACATCCTCGAACAGTTTGAATCTTTGCGACGTGCTGTCACATATTTCTATATCTTGGCAAGGAAGATGTTTATAAGCATCCATAAGTTGACATAATCGGTAACCCGGAAGATTATATGTCGAGTTTTATACCGTACACCGACAGGTACTTGGATGAGATATGATATTCTTGGGTCGCACCCTGTTCCCTGGTGCCGAGATATATATAAACTCATATATTCATGGTTCTCGAGTTATATACCACCCATCTATGTAAAGAGTGCTTTTTATATTCCCTGACACTCACCTATAGTTATATTTTCGATGCGCCCCATTGAGCAACCCGAGTCTCCGGAATCAGGACTCTAATTCCCCAGGAGCCCCTGGGCGGAAGTGACAGAGCCTATACATGTCATCATGACTTGCATATTATTATGGCTGAACCTTTCCAATTGAAAATACGTCGCGATGCCATGTTACAAGCATATCACGATCTACTTTACTACTTCTAGGGAGTTGTCCATTCTCATATGACAAACGGTGCACCCCGTCGCGCTTTGAAACTGTGCAACGGATATGGCAGCTATAATCGCGTTTATATGGCCTCAAACAAGCAATTGATCTGTTGTTCATGACATGAGATCTGTCATAAGAGCAAAGCAGGGGGGTTGAATAAGTGTCTGCTCGGTGAGCTGCTTTCAGCCTGCCTTTATGCTTTGCATCTCCTCTTTAGTAACTTACCAAAATACCTTATTGGGGCAAGGGTATAATACTTGTCCCGACTACGTTAACAGGTCGCAAGGGGCGGTTACCGGGTTAAGCCCATTCCAGGTACCCAATTTGATCAATAGCTTCACCAAACTCAAAGGCATCGTATATGGAACCGGTAAACGTGAGACATCCTGATTAAACGTTTACTGACCTCAAAAAGTCATTCCGGTCTATGAGTATAACCCCAATCCTGATATTGCGCGTAGGTATACAATCAGCTTGATTACCTGTGCAGATGATAAACGTCCCGGTGCATCCTATGGTGCAGAATAGGAAGCACCGTTCCAGCATCATGGCCCGCCCCATGGATACTGTGGTCGCGGAGGGCGGCATATTTCTCTTAAATTGCCCCCATGTTTCTACCAGTCGAGGCATTCCAACATACAAATAGGGTAGCTGCAGCTCTCTATATTTGCCTCCCAGGCTCGGTGCATCTCGTCCTCCGTACATAGTACATCAACTTCATCTCCTAGCCCGGTGATGAGCATGCAAGAGTCCGCAAATGCACCATATAATGCAGGCGCAATCTTAAGCTGTGGTCGCTAAGTCATCACCCGAGAGATGAGGACAGAATAAAATCCAAGTTTTTTTGTTATATTCCGGCTTTCAACTCCGGCCTGTTGTGTATCAACATGTATACATATAATATGCACTCACATGGTTCGTATTCCCCGACGATGAGAGAGCACTTCTAGTCCAGACCATAAGCGCCTTGTACATCGTCTGCTCTTGGTCATTCCCACATCTTTCAGGCGTTTTTCAACGGCGAATGTAGCGGTATAATTATGGTCACTTGATCGTTCCACCACAGCGTACACAGCTGTGGCAAATATCCCCTATTCAAACTGTTCGAGGATGAGAGAGAGCCGACCAAGCTATTGGAATCCAGCTTCCTTCGGTCTAGCCGACGTTTCCTTTTCTTATGCAAAACGTTGGCTTCTTTTTGATCAGCAGATCTATACAAACGCCACCTAATTCACCGGTATCGCTGCCGACTATTTCCTTATACTTACGTATGTATATACGTGGTAACGCGGGAATACATCGTATGGAAATATTGAATTTCGTTACATCTCGCAAAAGTCAGACTTGAGCGGTGTATTCCTTCTTTTTTTTTTTACCCTTAACTTTGTGCACTCCGTATTAATTAGGTGGGTTAAGGCCGTTAACTGACTACATTCTCTGTTTAGACAGCTTCCTCTCCAGGAAGACGTCCCGACGAAAGACATCCAACATTGTGACGCACAAGGGTGGCTGGTATGAAGAGGTCAACTCGCTGCGCCTGGCTCTTCAGCCAATAAACAACCCGGACAATCTCTCAATTTAGAACTGCTATATTACATCCTGGAAAGAGCAACAATTATAACAATTATGAGAGACATACATACACGGTCTTACTTGCACTGCCGTGAGCGTAGGCGGTGTTCAGTTTACGGCACAAGGCGAGGCTATCTTGCAGAACACAACAGTATCGACACAACCAATATGAGAATGTGATAATGACGAAAGGAACCAGCCGTACCGAGCACAAGTTTCACCAGCAACGAGCCTGGCATGCATCACCCTTTACCCGAAATGGATATCAATAGGGAAACAGAGCTGTACCGGAATAAATTTCCAAAGATTAGCGTCTCTTCTCTTCCCTGGCCGGGCTGGCTTGCCCGTCATCCTAGGGTCCTTGTCCAGAGCCAGAGAAGGAAGGAAAAAATAAGGGCTCAAGGCTGTCAAGCTCTTGTATCATGCTAGAGACATGTAAAGAGAAGACGCATCTATGTGCTGGCGCCGCTTGTCGACGCTCAACAGCCAGAATAGCGTTCAGTCAGGGAGTTGGGGGGAATGCAGCGACAATATATATATGCGAAATGCGAACAATATACATGCGTCCACAGCAGATCAATTCATGGGAATTAACCTTCTTGAGTGCATTAATTTTTTCGCCTTTTTTGCGCCTGGGAGACAAAGATTGTATCGAGCTTTACTCTATACAAGGTGAGGAAAAAAGCAATGCAGTTTCCAGGAATGAAGTGAAGGAAATGTTGCCCGAGTAACCGCCTGCAACGAACCTGGTAATGGCCAGTAAGGTACATTCTGCAGGCTAACAGCTTGGTTGACAAAGGGCGATACCTGCAGGATCAGAGTGATTGGACTGATAAATTACCCTTAGTTTGTCCGTACCGGCAGATACTGATATTAATTAATGCGCTCCCTGCATTACATGCCTGTGAGATGCGAGTTCCCGTGCCAAAGGAGGGCCATCAGAAAGACAATCACTGTGATTAGTCAAGATCGTATTTGGCTTTCTCGCTGAAGATAACGGCAATGCAACGATAATTTATTGCGGGCAAATTACAGCCAGTTGAGAGTGGTTTTGTTCATGCGGCCGGCGGGCCCCCACTGCCCACTCGCAGCGCCAGGGATTCACGATCGCCGGCGTCATCGACAGAGGCTGGCAGAGGTCGAAGGAGGGAAATCAGAGCGAGACAAAACGGGACACTGACGCCAGCCATTGAGTTACCGCCAGAGAATGAACAATGTAGTTCTGTCAATGCGACCCGGGGCGCTTAGGGGAGTTGGGCGCAAACTGAAGCACTAGTCGAGATGTATACTTGAGTGCGTAATGTATGGATGGTTACCATACTTCTCGATCAACCAGCGGAATGTGAAGGAAGCTTGAGGTAAAGCCTGTACAGAGTAGGCCAGGGAGACCCGAGTTCTACAACTATATACATCGCCCCCGGTCCAGCGGTAGGGAAGAGAGAGGGGGCGACCGCAGTCGAGGATTGCAAATTCAACCACAGGGCAACAGTCTCCTCTGTCTTCCTGTTGGTTTCCGCTGTGATGGACGAACGAGCAGATGATGACCTCTTTCGCCTTCCCTGTCCTGGAAGTAACATAATGAGTGTATTCCATACTAGCTAACTAACCGGGCTGCCTCAAGCTGCTTGATTGATCGCTTTGTTCGCTTGCCTTAATTTGTGATCTGAAGCCATGAGAAGCAAAGTCTAGATATTATGCGGGAGCCAGCCCATCATCACATCATGACCCTGGTCTACAGCCAATCAGCCGCTGCAGAAGGCCTGCGACCTCAGGTTAGCGCCCAGCAAGGGAAGACATCGGCCCCCTCGCCCCCCCCCTTCCCCCCCCCTTGACCATTAAGTGGTTGGTGAATATATGTAGGGGGGCTCCGCAACGGCAGGCATCGCGCGAAGCCTGGTCAAAAGAACTATCTTCTTTTTTTTTTTGACAATACGAAAAGATGAAATAAAGGAAGAGAGTAGCAATGGAAGATGGAGGTGATGGCCTGTCTGGTTGGCCACAGAGTGTTCATTGCCCTTATCCAACAAGATGTCGACGATGGAGAGCCAGGGAAAAGCCACCGAGTACCCATTGGCGCTGTGGATATGCAGCTAAAATAATCGATTTCGTCACGCTCGTCCCGCCCCGTCCACTTCAACCCTTCGTCCTGCTGCGGCCCTCTGTTCCCCATATAACACGGGCATGATGCAGGCAAGCGGACATTGTACTGGCCTATACGAAGCACGGATAGGGTATACATGCTGTGTACCTGATGCATGCACCCTGCATGAGCAGAAGAACTTGTCACAGTCAGTACCCCCGTTTTTCTTCAAGCTATACTGGTACGGAGAGCGTTTCAACCTCAGTTTGCCAGTAGCCATACTGTATGGCCATATCACAATAAAATGTGCATTTATATCTCGTTACTCGAAGGCACTTGCCTCTTCGTGGTAGGGGAATCCCTCCCCTGTGGCTATAAGCGAGAAGAAACAGCTTACATAGTACATAGCATCTCTGCTTTTATATCTCTGCTAGCCCACATTTCTACTTTGCAAAAAAGGAATAATACAAAAAATAAAGATGATACCGACCAAAAAAGTACAAGTGTGTACGCTGTGGTACACACAGATAATACACACATACTTGGCCGCTGGCAGTTCGCAGCACGATCCAGAAAAGGGGGACAGACAAACTGATCGCGAGAGGGAGACTGGCCGTTTCCCCAAGCGCCGTCTCTTGTTATATTCTCGCCGTTCTCCCTAGCCCTCCACCCTCCATCAAGAGAGATCTGGTTTCATCCCAGCGTGAAAGAGCCGTCACATCACACTCGCTTGACAAGGGTCCACCCCTACTCTGGAACTTTATCTCACTTTCAATACGATACGGATGTGCGTATGTTGATGTACCAAGGGCTTGCATCTTCATACGAAAGTCCTAAAAAAAGATATATATCCTCAACCCCCATCGCGCAGCTGGCCCCCTCCCCGCCCCCTTCCATCGAACATTCGATTACAAACAAGCAGCAGGAGTTGATAAACGCACGCCGTGGGTTTTGATATATTCCTAGAGACTCCTTGCTCCTTTTCTCTGGCGGTCTTATGCTGTTGTTTCTGTTCAACATACAATACCCTTTCCAGATCTAGAGCATAGAAACAGAGCAGTGGCAGTTGATCTGCTTCCATATCCGAACTATACAAGTAGTTGACCAAGGCAGATTCTCCGATTCTCTATACACATGTCAACGTTTATTTGATAGCAAAAGGCCATTGCTGCTACTTCTTCTTCGTTTTCTCTTCTCTTTGGTTGCCGACCTGCGCCATGGTAAGTCAGCTCTTTATAAATGGAACGTGTTACACTTGCTAAAGATTCCGTAGGACTACACTTATATTCCACCCCTGCCGCAGGGCAGTATACAGATGTTCCCGCAAGCAAACAACAATCAGACGATGGACTATATCATGAAGCGCTCGTCTTTCAACTCTCGACCTCTATCCGAAGCAACCGAAATCCAAGACCTTGATTATGAAGTCGAGTACTCCGAACCCGAATCCCCACGACGAAGCCTCGAATCAGTGAGTATATGGATTAATGAACCCTTTAATATATGTGAATTGAATCAGCTAACAAAATACCGTATAGTTTGGAACTGGTAGCGCTACCACTCTGTCACTCTCGGATGAACCTCCGACCCCTGGCCCTTATGAGACCCGGGCCTTTGAGCTCCCACCAAGGAACCTAAGTAAACCAGTGCAGGGACCTTCAGGGCCCCATCTCTTCAGGGGATCTATGGACAGCACGATGCTCGAAAAACCCACCGTCGAAGAGTGGCAACTGTCGATGTCTCCTGTATCTCTTGAGGATATCAAAGTCCCCATGTGGGTTCCTCAGGAACGAAGATCTTCCGACCCAGCTCGCTTCACGGAAATCCCAAGGACATCTAGTAGTATGTCTCATCCGAAATCCAGCAGTAGCAGCTCATCGTTTGTTCAAAGTTGGACGCCAACCCAAGTTGCTGAGTGGATGTACGAGGTTGGCGTGGAGGACAGCCTGGTTGAACGCTTCATTCAAAACGATATCTCTGGTGCCGTTCTTCTCGACCTACACCTTGACGACCTTAAGGAGTTGGATATCCAGTCCTTTGGCAAACGTCACTACCTCATGAACATGATCCAGAACCTGCGGAACGCTTCTGATCCTTCCTCTATGCCGGAGCTCGCACGGGTCAGCTCTTCCATGTCAAACAGCCCTCCCTTGCCAAAAATCGAGTCTCCTGAGTGTACCACATCCGCGTCTCCTGATGACGGTGCTAGGCATGGTGTGCCTGCTCACAAAAGACGTGGCCGCCGCAACCGTGTTATTTCAGAGGAAGACATCATATCGCCTGCCGAATCCGTTTCTATTGTTGCTATTGAACAACTACTCCCCAAGCCACACAAATGCTCCAAGGGAGAAAACTGTTCCAAATATCAGAAGAGACAGCGAAAGCTTGCCCGGATTGCAAAACAGTTTCCAAACGAGTTCGCTCTCATCGATGGTGAGCTCGTTGCCACCACAAACCAAGTCGTACCTCCAACCCCTGCCATGACCCAAATCAGCCGAAAATCAGATACTGCGCCCTCACTCGTTGCATCGTCTGATGTTCTTGGCCCCGGTTTTCTTCCCGATCTACACCCTGAGCTACAGCTTAATGCTGCGAACCTGAACGGAGTTAGGCCCCGGGATCCTCAGGAAAATGTTAGACAGTTCCTTACCTTCCAACATATGCATAGCCCTGACCTTAATTCGTCCACGACAAATCAACCTTTGGAGATGTTCCCGCCTCTCCCTTCTCAGGAGCAACCAGTTCATGTATCCAACCAACTTCGATCTCTACCCAAACTCACCATCCCAAACCAGACTCATTCCAGCAGCGATCCAGCATCGGCTTTACGCACTGTTACCCCCTCTATGGGCGCGCGGGTTGTAAATTCACCCACTGCCACGCAGGAGTACAACCCATACTCCTTTGACGATAACAACACATATCGCCATGGAACTCCATTCTCTGAGATGGATGTCCCCGTCACCGCTATGCCTGTCGAGCCCTTGGCCAGAGAAACATCCCAGTCCGTCCCTCCGGGTATGAGATATGGAAATATTTCAACACGGCAACACCAGTCTCCTGATCCCCTAGCCCGATCAAGGTCAACTCGGCCTGAACGCCATCGCCGACATCCATCTGTCAATACCATGACCCCCTTGCATGAAATCGAAGGCCTCTCACCAATCGAGAACCCATCGGATATGGATGCCGCTATTAAACCACAAGCACCTATTACACAACGTGCTGGTTCCTCTGGGTCGTCTTCGTCCTCGTCTACACAGAAAGACCCGGACGTTACCCACAGCGGATGGATGAAGAAGAGAAGAACCACCCGCCTTCTTCGCCACGAATGGCAAGATGCACACTTCACCCTCAAGGGGACCATTCTTGCCATGCACAAAGATGAGTTCGACACCCATCGCCACAGCAGGGCCCTCGAATCTATCGACGTAGACGACTATGCTGTTGCTTGTTCCTCTCTAGCATCCAACTCCAAGCTCACGGCAGCCTTCAAACGCTCCGTCCTCCGCAAAGCAGCTAACCTCAACTCCAATGGCGGCTCATACAAGGGTATGGACGAAACCGCGTTCGCATTCTCGTTGATCCCCGCTACCAAACCCATGGAGCGCAAATCTATCTTCACTGCAAATGGAAAAAACCATCATTTCGCTGTCAAGACTCGTGACGAGCGTATTAATTGGATGCGTGAGCTCATGCTCGCGAAAGCTCTGAAGAAGGGCAAAGAAGCAGGAAACGAGATTAAAATGAACGGCAACTTCATCTGATCTTTGTTATCTGCATTACTCTCTTTTAGCCTATATTTCCTTGTTCGACTCTGCATCAACATAATGTATATACCCTTCGTCAGTTCCTCTACCCCATGCATTACGAGTACCTTCCTTTAATACTGCCCCATGGTGAATGAGCGTGAATGTCACATTTGGCACATCTGGTATGCTTGTCAATATACATCTCGCTATATTTCTTCATACATACCTACCTCCCCTCCACTCTACGTACCCGTTCCATTTTCTGAGTTCACATCATGCGTTCTGATAAGCCTTTCTGCGTCGATACACCACTTGCAATGATTTTCCTCGATTTTCTGTTTTTATTTTATCCTTCTCACATACCCTACTACAGCTACATTCCATTTCATTTTCCTGTGAGCAACGTGTAATGCTTCAAATTGATTCCCATCTTTGTTTTTTGTTTATTTTCGCATCTAAGCATTGGAGCACGATACCTCTTTGATATCTTACGGCCTTTTTTCAATGGTAGGATAGGTTAGGAAACTTCATGAGTAGGATAGTATATAGGATAGCCCACGCAATATGAATAAAATTATACGACCAGCATTTCTTCTTTCTCTATTGCTTCGAAGCACTCTTCTCGTTCTAAATAAGTTACTGCACCAGGAGTGGGCGAGCTTGACTATGATTTAATATATCAAAAATATGCTAGATATGTAAAAAATATTATTGTCCTTACACAGCGTTGGGAATTTATACTCAAGCGTCTATTCCCAGTAGCTTAAGAATACTTTACCCACCATCTACATAGCAACTCATCTTCACTAGATTTCTTATCTTCTTTATAGGCAATTCTATCACTGAGGGATGGACATATGATGCGATTGCTAAAAATAAGGGTTTATAGAGAAATATAAAACCGATGAATTAGCAGCAATTATTGCCGAGATGAATTGGAAAAAAGGTTGGTTCTAAAGAATTGATTGATATCTTGAACATACAAGGAAAACTGAGCTTCTTCAAGCACCTGGGTGAAAGTGAGAAGAGCGGTACTGTTAACCTCTTGGTAGCTGGTGTTCTAAATATTGTCTGGCACACCCTCTGGGATATTGGATAACCATGCGCTACTTATCAACTACAGCCGGTTGTTCGTAGGGAAAAAAGATGCATAAATCTACAGGACTTCGATTATTCAACGGGAGATGGTATGTAATTGTCTTTTCAGTAAAAACCACAGGGAGTAATGGGCTAAGAATCCTCCGAATGTTGATTAATATTCGTGGCAGTACTCTGCACAGATAGCGGATGGCTGATTCCTGCTGGGTTTCAGCTTCGACCACTCCATACAGAGTACGTAAATCCTCCTAGTTATAGGCCTCTTGCTTAGATACAGCGTCGTAAACTTGGGAAAGATCCTGCCATTAAGTATAGTATTTGGATGTTGATATATCGATGTAGAAGCCAAAAGACTAAATTTATGCTGGCTCAAGCGTCTGCTTAGTAAACAAGCACGTGACCTCGGCCGAACCTTGCAAGCTTCTTTTTATTATCCGAGATGCCATCAAGTTATAAATTCCGGGAACTAGAACAAGGACTGGAAGATATATAGATATATAGGGCTATCAATTAAAACGGCACACATGCGTACTGCAATGCCTTTTTGGTATCTACCATGTTTTTCACCGGCCCCAAGTCGAAGTCATCTTCGATGTCCAGATCAATAGCGATCGCGTGCAATAATCAGGCTGCAACGTATAGCTCTGTTCATATACCACGCTCATGTCGAAGCCTCCACCACGCAGCACGACCGCTATTCCGGCGGACTATTCACTCACAGCAATTCCAGCCCTTCGTTCCTCCCGCCCCAGAATCCCTCGGAAAGCCCATTCGCGCGAAGACATACCCACGGGCGCGCAGGTGGCTTCGCCGGCTCTTTTACCTAGGAACCTCCCTCGGCGCATTATACTTGGTTGATGGCCAGTTCAATGCATCATGCGTCACTCGTACTACCCGCACATTCGCACTGGGTCTCTTCGTTGCCCTGGACTATAAAATCAACTTTCGGCCCAATCCCCCATTAGCGAAATCCATAGCAGCCGTACACGCTCGAAGCGCAGAGCGGTTGTCAGTTCTGCTACGTGAAAATGGTGGGTTGTACTTGAAAATTGGCCAGGCAATTGCCATGCAAGCCGCCGTGCTTCCGCCGGAGTTCCAGAAAATGTTCTCACGTATGTTCGATGACGCACCCCAGAACGATTGGAAAGAAGTCGAGAAAGTGATTAGAGAGGATTTTGGAAAATCTGTCGAAGAGGTATTTGGAGTCAGCTTCGACGGAGATCCGAGTCGTGGGGTCATGGAGAGGACTGCCAGAGCCAGTGCTAGTGTAGCGCAAGTTCATTGGGCTAGGCTAGCGGACGGAAGAGAAGTGGCCATAAAAATACAAAAGAGAGAGATTGCACGGCAGGTAGAGTGGGACCTATGGGCATTTAAGTACGGATATAGATGCCGGACTCCCTTGTCATGATTGTGTCTGCCAGGTGCTAACGGCTTATAGGGTTATCTCGTACCTCTACTCCAAAGCTTTTGACATCCCCTTCTACAGCCTAGTCCCGTTTGTAACTGAACGGCTCTTTTTGGAAACGGACTTCGAAAATGAGGCGGATAACGCCGAGCGTATGTCAAAGTTGATTTCTAACGAACCACGGCTCCGCAATAGAGTGTATATACCCAAGGTGTACCGTGAGCTTAGCTCCAAACGCGTCATGACTGCTGAATGGATTGAAGGGGTAAGATTATGGGACAAGGACTCCCTGACACGGCCCTGGAGAGGAGGTTGGTACCAGGGAAGTCCCGGCTGTCATGGAGCTCCTCTACAGCCGTCTGACGGTAAAACACCTCCTCGTCGTGCGGGAGGCCCCGCCATTATTGATAAGCTAAAGCCGGATCGTGACTACTGGAAAGGGAAAAATGGTCGTGGCGGCTTGGGCTTGTCTTTAAAGGAAGTCATGACAACCATGGTAGATTTATTCTCCGCACAGATGTTTCTCTGGGGATGGCTGCACTGCGACCCACATCCTGGAAATTGGTTTGTCCGCCGACAACCTTCTGGAAAGGCTGAGCTGGTTCTCATAGACCACGGCCTCTATGTCCACATGGATCCGAAATTCAGGCATGAATATGCTCGATTCTGGAAGTCCCTACTAACATTCGATAACGCTGCTATTTCTGAAATAGTCCAGGGTTGGGGTGTTAGAAATCCAGATATTTTCGCATCACTTACCTTGTTACGACCCTATGAGGGAGGCGAGCACACCACATTTAAGCAATTAGAAGGACTGAGCAAACGGGAGAGAGCCGAACGCCATTATGCGGCACAGCAAGCTATGAGCCAAGCTATACGTGACTTCCTTGGTGATGAGACGAAATGGCCTCACGAGCTCATCTTTATATCCCGCAATTTCCGTATTGTCCAGGGAAATAATCAATTTCTAGGATCTCCAGTGAACCGCATCAAGATAACAGGAACATGGGCATCCCGTGCCTTAATAGAATCCCCAGATCTCCCACTGTCAGAAAAGATAAAAAATTATGGACGTCACATCATATTCAAGTGCGTCCTGTTTACATCCGATATCTTCTTTTACGTCACCAAGATCAGACAGATCTTGGGCATAGGCGGTGGCATGGAAGACGAACTTGAAGCCCAGATGCAGAGTATAGCAAAGGATATGGGCGTTGACCTGAGCCAGCCTGTATTTAACGGCTAAGCCTTGGATTTTGAGCTGCTTCTGCCACTTTTACCTTCTTCCCTTCGCTGGCTGAAAGGGAAAACAAATCTTCTGCTATCTCATACTAAAGTGTTACTCCAACCTGTACAATAAACCTCAGCTCATTTTTAAGCAAAAGCAATGAAAAAAAATACAATGTTCAACTCTTAGTCCACTCGTTTAATTGGCTTGTCGCGTCTTTTTCGCGTAAGTTAGCCGCGGTCTTGGCATCCTTCTCTTGTCGTCGCGAAACCTCTTGGGCGTTTTCGATTCGAAGTCGCAGTTTTGATAAACTAGCACCTTACAGGAACAGGGGTTCATTGAAAATGTTCCGGCTGTGCTTGGATGTTTGCTCATTCCCTCGATACTTCAGTGGTTATTCTGGGACCATCTGACATGACAAGGGCATAGCGCGCAAGACAGCATAATAGGACCGGGACTTGAAAGCCACCCGCCGAATGTTCTCATCAGTAGACGATGGCATCTGATCCGGCATCTCCTTACGATGAATATTGCCGGCCTTCGTCTCAGTTCACATACCGCCACCTTCAGCTCTTACGGTCTTTCTCGACCCGCACCCCGCTTCGAGTCATAGCCCACATTGACCTTGATGCGTTCTATGCGCAATGTGAAATGGTACGACTGAATACCCCACGAGACCAACCTCTAGCTGTTCAGCAATGGCAGTCTTTAATTGCGGTGAACTATCCTGCTCGTCCATTTGGGGTCTCAAGGATGATTACCGCTGAAGAAGCTAAGAAGCTGTGTCCGCAATTACTTACGCCTCATGTTGCCACGTTTCGAGAAGGGGAAGGGGAGAATTGGGCGTACAGAGAGGGAGGTTACTCCGTTCAAAAGGATAAAGTCTCGTTAGATCCATATCGTGCGGAGTCAAGAAAGATTCTAGCAGTCATGAAGGCAACGCTGCTATCTTGTGCTGAAGGAATTTATGAAGGATGCCGTGGGCAGTTTTCTGAACCTTCTGACATGGTGCGGCTTGAAAGAGCTGGTATTGACGAAGTCTTTGTAGATCTTTCAGCACTGGTATTTGGGACACTCTTGCAACGCTATGAAGTGCTACGGTCGGCGGAAGCTGTTGAATGCTCAACGGATAGTCTAGGCGGGTTTCTTCCCAGGCCTGAGGCCACTGCGCTTGTATGGGGAGAAGATGATGAATTAATCGACCTGGACACTGGCAAATCTGAAGAAGAGGACCCAGAATGGGATGATATAGTCATGCTGGTTGGTTCGGAAATTGTAAAATCTATCCGGGCAGCGGTATGGGACCAGCTCAAGTACACTTGTTCAGGTGGAATTGCAAGAAACAAAATGATAGCTAAACTAGGAAGTGCGTGCAATAAACCAAACCGACAGACCATTGTTCGCAACCGTGCTATTCAGCAGTTCTTGAGTGGCTATAAATTTACCAAAATCCGCTCACTCGGAGGAAAACTGGGGAAAAGGGTGGCATCGGAATTCGAAACAGAGAAAATAAGGGATCTTCTCAACATTCCTCTAGATCGATTAAAAAACAAACTAGACGACGACACTGGAACATGGCTCTACCAGATAATCCGGGGAGAAGACGATAGTGAAGTTACTCCTAGAACGGAAATCAAGTCTATGATATCGGCCAAATCATTTAACCCTAAACTGAACGCTCTGGACCAGGCAGAGAGGTGGATGCGAATTTTTGTCACTGAAATATATGGGAGATTAATTGACGAAGGCGTCCTAGAAAACAAACGGCGCCCCAAAATGATTACCGTCCACCACCATGGCTCAAACCAAGACAAGTCTCGTCAGACACATATTCCGCCTGGTGGAGTTATCGACCAGACTATGCTCTTTGATCTAGCAAAGAACTTACTTCAGCAAGTCATCAGCTGGCCCTGCTCTCATCTATCCTTAACGGTGAGCGGGTTTGAAACTGGGATTACGGGGAATAAAAGCCTGGATAGTTTCTTTATCCGTGGTGGTAGTGACAGTTCAGTCTCACGGCGCGACGGCAGTACACCGAAAATAGATTGCAGGGCGGAGCTCCCTGATGACAACACGGCATATCATCAAAGAAAGAAGCAAAGAGTCGGTGAGAAACATCAATCTAATTCTTCAACGGCAGGTGGTTTCTTCTCAAGATATAAAGTGAGATCTAGAGAACAACCCCCTATAAAACAACCCCCTGAAACTTGCCCTGAAGAGGTGGCGGAATCGCGAGCTGGTCTCCAAACGAATCCAACTTTCTCACCTCCCGGCATTTGCTCCCGCTGTGGAGAGACTGTGCCAGACTTTATGCAAGTTGAACATGATGATTGGCATTTGGCAAAAGATCTAGAAAGCCAGGAACAAAGGCCACTCAACGCTGTTCGGCCGCGGGGTGCCGTGAAAACGAGGCAAACTAGGCTGGCCTTTGGCTAATCTATCACGTTCCTGAAGCTGACCATGATGTGATTACTTCTCGTAGCGTGCAATTCCCTGGTGTTTACCCTTTCTTTTGCATATTTTGGGATCATTGGTATATATAGCTACATCTATATTCGTACATTGCGGGAGTTACTTATAAACATCGGGAGTAGCCGTTTGTCAATTTTCTTCAAGGCAAATATCAATGTAGGATTCTTCATTCTAGTTATTTCATAAAAAACAAGTTACGTCATTTCTTTGAACTCCACACACCCTTACTTACATAGATGTATGACTTTTCCCATTCATCCCTGTCCATTGGCCATGCCCGTTAGTTGAATACGGGGTGTGACATCATCGCCTTTATTTTATTCTCCAGCGCCAACCTGTGTGCCTCTTCCCCTTATATTGTTTATATATGGCTGTTTTCCCTCTAAAGATGCTTATTGCAAATTGGTTTTTAATATAAAATACCTCTCCATAGCCTCATTTAATACTTGTTTAGGCTACTTTGACCTCTGCTCCTTGTTCGAGTTCTCTTTACCTGGCTATAGGTCTAGGCAATCTGTAGGCTCTCAGCCTGCATTCGTCTATTCAATTGGTTATACTTCAGCGCTGGAAAACTGTCTTCCCTCCATTCATTTTGGGTTATCGACTTATGTGGTAAGAGTTTATCTATAGTTTCTCTTATTCGTGTATTGATGTGTGACAAAGTAGCAATTATCCATCAGAGAAAGTGTGCTCTGAGAGCTACAACTCTGGTATAACCGACTACCAGGCACAATCTCCTTGAGTCCTGTAGGTCCAATTTTACTCCATGGCTATTAAGGCCCGGTTCCACGAAGATGTTTCTTATGCTCCCAAGGGGCGAGATGAGATTCTCGACTTACGACAACGAAGGGGGAGATTCTCCTCACCGTTGGATGGGATCAGGGGAGAAAGACACTCTCGTCGACAAAGACGAGGTAATGACGAGGAAATTGAGGAAGAGATCGAAATTGATATCGAGCGTGACAGGCATGCGGGACAGCACAGAACATTAAAACATCATAGCCACCCCCGAGGATCACTAGGATCGCCATCCAGAGTCGTGGAGAGCGACGAGCTTGTTATTCGCCGGGATGAAAGTCCTGGATGGAAGAGAGTGGAAAGGAATGACTTATTTGTGGGACTAGAGCGAGGTAGCGATGTCTCTTCAGAGGATTCGTTCGAAACAGAGCTCGTTCCGGTTCGACATCGACCGTCTCATTCACATGAAGAGATCATTGGATATCATAAACATGGTAGGCGTGGTACGCCTTGCACATATCATTTCGAGACACACTTTATGGCTGTTAGAGACTAACAGCAACTTAGGGCACGCACCTTTGCATAGGAGAGCGACGCCCAAAAGAGTGGATATAGAAGAAATTGAAATGAGAAGGTATGCTCCAAAAAAATTAAGAACTTCCCTCTAAGTTTATCCCTATACTTAATGGTTAATAGGCGCAATAGACACCACAGAGATCATGAAGATGAGACCATTCTTGAGGTTGACGTTGATATCCACAAGGAGTCGGATGATAGGCACCATAGGGGACGAAAACATGACCCTTTGGTAATGAGGCCGCGCGAGTTAATACCTTCTCACATTCGAGAGGAAGATGAACAGCATGGCAACTACATCCCAGGAAGGCTGTCAATGGATGAAGTATGTAGAAATACATCTGCAGATTGGCACATATTGGATGCGCCTCCTGAGACACGACCGGCTGGCACAGATAGACTTGGTGTATGCGAGGAGACCTCATGGAGTAAACGTAACCGCATCCGCAGGTCAAGTTATCTTCCCGATACGTATGACGGAGAGGTCCATGGGACCGTTGCAAAACGGTATGTGGGCGTTAAGGAAAAGCGTGAGGAGCTCTGGACAGAGATCACCAAGGATCTTGTTGTGAAGGAAGCTATCGAGATGGCAGGGTATGAATACGAAGAAACCGTAGACTTCTTCTATATCTTCTCAAATTTGCAATATGTAAGTCCCCTATCCCGTCCCTTTAATACGGAGGGTATCATACTGATTATCCCCGGTCATTTAGGATGATGTGGCAGAGTTGGTAAAATTCTCTGAAGAGTACCGCCAACGACGTCGAGAGAGAGTCCTGGAAATTCAGCGAGAGGGAGCAATGACACAGCCTCTGCCTCTTCCACTTCCACAGCCTAGAATGATCTTGGAGAAAGGGACTTCTAGAGCGACGTGGGATGAAGAGCGAGTCCATGAGACTGAAATTCTTATCGACGAAAGTCGAAAGTCACGACGCCGCTCCCCAATACTTAGAGAGCGCATTGTTTGATAACTCTATATGCCTTAGTGGACGATTCATGGGCCTGTGTGAACATCGTTCTTCTCATTGTTTGCCGGGCGAGACTTTTTATACATTAAAACCTGGAGTGGACAAGCCCTTCTATCAACTCTAGTCTTTACGTTGCTATGACTTTCCGGGGATAACCGATATTATTATCATAACATGTGTGACTGACTAAACAATCGGTTTTTATATATAGGGACGTTGGTCGGTATATTTACCCCTTTGGTCCCCATGATATTCAGAAAGTAGAGTCTATAATAATATATCTTGTTACTCCTTATACCGTCTAGTCAAGGAATGGAAGCACTTAACGAGACCCCCTTTTCGGTCTTATCTTTTCCATCACACATATATCTTAAATTACATCGTTATAGAGGCGTCTACCCACCACGGGGCGACTGAATCTATATCAAGATCCTCTAAAGTCGGCTCTATATAAGAACTAGGCACTTCTAGAGACTCAGTTCCCCGGAAACCGGGCATCGGTTCCATCGTAGCGGGAGACATGGTGGGTATTTGGCCCAGAGGGAGCGGCACCTCTTGCATCCTTTCACACGGAAGCTCTAGCGGATTCGTAGGAGTTGCGGCATACTGACCACTGTCCAGTGTATCTCTTTGCTGCATTTCTCGCACATACCGCGCTTTTGCCATCAGCCGTCTGACGGGGCCCCACAGAGATCTGTTCTTATCGTGCTTTTTGGCCTGCCACCCATCTAGCACCGTGTTGACGCACTGCCATGCGCGTTCGCATTCGGTAGACGGCGGCCGCGAGCATATCTCAGAGAGTATGAATGCAACCGCATGCCACTGCACATAAGTCTTGCAATGCCAGGTCCACCTGGTGAGATCTTTATCGGTGAGAAGTAAATTAGAGAGCTCCAGGACTTCCATGGAGATAGAAAAGAGTCTATTGCGCGCCGCTGCGCTTAGGCTGGATGTGCAGGTATTATTATCCTTCCGTGTTGTTGGGTAGAGAACCACTAGCCATGTTCGGGCAATGATCGAGCGTGCAACGATCGTGTAGAATCGCTGAAAGGGCTGCGTAGTATCGCAATGTCGCAGGTATTTATCTTCCAAGTGCTTGTTTAGGCCTTCGACCAAATCTTCCCGAGCCGTTACCGACAGCCCTTCTCTTACTAGGCCAGGAACTCTCAAGCTCGGCGGTGCGTAGCCGACTTTCCATCCTACCCTCATAACCTCGCATCGGATGAGGCAAAACGTCATCTCCGTTTGCCCTTCGCGTTCTGGGGGAGGGTTCGTCATTTGATGATTGAGGTCACTATCATTTACGTTTAGCGGTAACCTCGTGTCGAAAGTAGCCTCGTGGACGATTGGCTCATAGCCGTGATACTCGGATGATCGAATATCGAGTAGGCAAATATGATACCATAATCGTCTGCGTACCTCTATCTCAAGTGGTTTCAGTCCAAATATAGTGCCGTCACGGTGGAGTCCCATAGCCTGAGCGATGCGGAGAACAAGCGGGATAAGCGACCATACCAAGCGTGAGTCGTCTTCGTTCCGGAGGGCGGAAAGAAAGAGAACTACCGCCTGTAGCAAAAGTATGCTCCGTGTGTTCAAAAGGTCGGCTCTAACTATGGCCTGCTCGACAGCAAAGCGATATGTTTCCACAGCGACGCCGGATGATACTCCGACGATACTCTCGCGTTTATGCGGGTCTGCGCTGAGAATAGCTGAATAGTAGATTGAAAATAACAGAGCCTCCGTGTTCTTATCCAGAGAGTCTAGAGACTCGACGGCATCCCAGTATAGTCTGGAGGTAGTTGGCATGTGAAAGATGTGAACAAGTGGCAGCACATTTTCGGTGAAAAGACCAAGCAAAGCCACGGATTGAAATAGTGGCGGATGCTGCGTACGCATGGGTTCGGAGGGTATTAGAAACCCCAGTATTGTGGTGATGGGCTGCAGAGGGCTACCAAAGTTGGACACAGATGTTTGGCTCTGCGCGCAGCTTTCATCGTCAGAAACCGGATCATAGAGCATGTCACGCATCTCTTCGATCTACATACATGTAAGTACTCATGTGCAATTTTCCTGAGAAAAGAGAGCGCTCCATACATACCTCGTTGGCTAAGTTTGCCCATAGAACGTTGCTAATGTAGTGGCTTCGTGTATCCTCCACTATCAAACGCCCAAATTGTTGCTCGATACCAGCATCGGGTGTCAACCACTCCGAAGTGGGCGTTAATTCCTCGCAGGTTTGTGAGGGTACCGTACCGCCAGGTGGAGCAGTGAGATCGCGCTCTACTGTTAGGCGTTTAATGATGGCTTCTAAGCTGTGAAGCCTATCAATCACTTGCGCATTCAGGGTATTCCGCGGCCGCTTTGCGGCTCTGCCCCGACCAGGAGGATAAGTGCATTCCGCATTTGATCGAATGCAGTATGAGCATGGTTTCTTGCGGTCGCATTTTACTTTGCGCTGGCGACAAAAAGTGCAGCTACGTGGATGGGTGGAAGGATCTGGGATAGATTGTGTTGCCAACGCTGTATCGTCCGTCGCCCCGGGAGGATTTTCCGTAACACTAGCGGGTACGGCCCATGACAATGATGATGAGTTGTTTCCCGGGTTTGCAGGCGGTGCCCGGGGTGACAAGTTGTGCTGCTCCATGGTGCGGAACTGGCTCTGGGGGTCAAGTCAGATTGGTGTAGAATACAAATAGTGTCGAATTAATAACTTGAAAGGTCAGGCGCAAAGTAAGGCTGGGCGATTTCAAGCTAGTTAAAGGCGTTGACTGTTGAAATGGTTACATTCTAATGTGCTCACTATCTGGATGGAGTACATTCTTCCATAATCGAGCTATACTAGTTTTGTGCTATAACCCCGAACACCATAGTGGATTATCCAATCCTACTGGCTAACTAGTAGGGTTTGCATAACGATATCCTAACCGTACATAGTAGGCTCCGGGAGTTAGGAGGTTAGGGATATTTAATTAAGGCGCAAGGGCCAGAGCAGGGGCTTGCAATGTTCCGGGAATCTCCACAGGCATTATATACTAGGCCATACTAATTAGCACTTCCAATCAGTAGGTGTCGGGACCCGTCAGGAAGCTTCCAGAGTGCTGAACCCTCAAATGCTGGCAACCAACATATAACTAGTGGTTACGGAACATTCCTCCCCGAACTCAGGGCCTTGCAGCCATGGATGAGCCACGTTGAGACCACGTTCGCACCACGCTACTGGATAGCTGTCCCATCGACGAGGCCAACTCCGCACCAAGAGTTTGTTGAGTCTTAAAACTATTTATTTTCTCTTCGGATAGTGTTCCGCGGCGGCGTAGCTAATTCTAGGAAAACGTATCGTCTCTGTTGTCTAGATTTCCATCACGATTTAATACGAATACAGCCAGTGTGCTTTGCTGGATGCTGCCTACCACTTATAATCAAGGTGTCATCTCAAACTGGGTTTAGGGCTGATAGAGCCGCATGCGGGGCTCGCATAAGCTTATCCGATGCCGTCAGGAGCCGCATAACCATATCCGTGCCGGGTCCCACTTGCAGTCCAGCCGGCCGTATTTAGTGGATAAAAGCTCGCGGGTAAGACGTTGTGTTCGATCCGGCGTAAGACGCGCTGACGGATAACATATCCTTCTCCCGTATAGCCAAGTTGAGCCTGTGATTTATATTGATATTTTTCTCGGTTGTAGTTTTTTAGATGCAGTCATATCCCCCAAAAAGTCGCTGGCTACAGCAACCAAAACAACTTTATAATCTGGCGAGCTCGAATTACACTCCTTGCCATACTCGGCTTACTTACTTCCACTCGCCAGCAATAACGATACTAGCTCGCAATCATGAAGGCGGAAGATACCCCCATCAACAGGTCGACAGGGTCCGATCTAGAGAATGGAGCGGGTGGACAGGTTGAAAAGGTGGTGGAAGCTAAGCCAGCGGACGGCGGTCGGAATGATGCCCCAGATGGTGGCCTTGAAGCCTGGCTAGTCGTCTTTGGAGGCTGGTGCGCGCTCTTCTGCACCTTCGGCTTAATCAATTGCGTTGGTGTGTTCCAGGAATATTATCTATCCCATCAACTAAAGACATACGACGCATCAGCAGTGAGCTGGATTACATCCGCCCAGGTCTTTTTCATGGTATTCTGTGGTGTTGTGGTAAGCTTCTATATGCGCCGTTTGGAAAATCCTATGCGATACAATCCATTTGAGAGCGGCGTTGCTAATTTCCCTAGTGGGGACGTGTATTTGATAATTATGGTTCAAAATGGCTTCTTTGGGGAGGTACCATCACCTATATCTTCGGGCTGATGATGACCTCTCTGTCCACAAAGTACTACCAGTTCTTCCTGGCACAGTCTGTCGTCTCTTCCATTGGCTCCAGCGCTGTCTTTAACTGTTCTATGTCATGCATAGCGTCCTGGTTCTCCCGCCGCCAGGCCGCCGCCTTTGGTATTATAGCCTCAGGCTCCTCCGTGGCCGGTGTTGTGCTGCCAATCATGATGGACAAGCTGAACGATCGCATCGGATTTCCTTGGATGATACGCTCTATCAGCTTCATGTTTCTTGGTTTGCTTGTCACTGCCTGCTTGACTGTCAAACCTAGACTGCCGCCACGACCAAGACCAGTCGTCCTCAGTGAATACGTGGATAGCTTGAAGGAGATTCCTATGGTCCTCACAGTGCTAGCTTTCTTCCTATTCATGTGGGGGATGTTTTTGCCTTTCAACTATATCATCCTCCAGGCCATCGCTGCAGGAACATCGCCTACTCTTATTCCCTATTTGCTTCCAATTCTCAATGCCGTGAGGTATGTTGTTATCAAACCACACCAATGATCTAGATTGCAGTTACTGACTAGAGTTATTTAATAGTATCTTTGGTCGAGTTCTGCCAGGAATTGTCGCCGATAAGATTGGTCGCTATAACGTGATGATAGTTACCATTTTCTTGTCTGCATTATTCTGCCTTGCTGTATGGATTCCAGTCAAGAACACTGCCGGAATAATCGTCTTTGCTGTCATGTTTGGCTTTTCTTCTGGCGGCTACTTTACTCTGGCGCCCGCCATCATTGCACAGATTTCCGACGTTCGCCAGATCGGCATGCGTGTTGGAACAGCCTTTGCAATTCAATCTCTTGGGGCCCTTACCGGTAGCCCAATCGGTGGCGCGATTGTCAAGTCACAGAATGGCGATTACCTGGGTCTGCAGTTGTTCTGTGGTTGCAGTATGCTTGGATCTGTTGTTGCCTTCTTGGCTGCGCGATATTCACTTGTTGGATTCAAAATGACAAAGGTGTAGTTGGTGGCCAGAATGTCCTCCTCTAAGATAGTGCAATTTTCCGCTCATCTCCTTCCTTGGAACTTAATTAGATTGTATAACTTTTCCTTTTCTATTCATTAGCTTTAATAGCAGATAGATTGTAATATTATAATATTATTGACAGGATCGACTAAATATAGAGGCTTCCTGTTTTTCTCTCGAGGATAAAGAAATTGCTTTCCAAGAGTTTGTAGAACCGAGAAGGAAGTTTCCGAGACCGATTGGATTGGGCAAGTCTAGTAGGATCAGCTGCTCTGCAACCTCTCCTTGGTTGATTAACTGCTGAGCGGCATAATATGTGGCTATTCCTCCGGCTGACCAACCAGCCAGATAGTAGGGGACCTTTGGCTGCTGTCGACAGATTTCTGCCAAGTACGGCTCTGAGCTCCTGCAGGTTGCATAGCATGTCTTCTGCAGTTTTAAGATTGGGACAGTTTAGCCCACACATAAGAAAATCCGGTGAGATTTTCGGAATATTAGTATATGAAGTGGACGATCCAGGTCCGTCTGGGAACATAAAAAATGTTCTAAAGGGGTTTGTTCCTCACTGTAAGGTCACAGCTGTGGCGGGAAGATGGATAAGCGCCGGAGCACTCTCTTCGTACCATGGCTGAAACAGCTTGCGAAGAGCCGCGACGAGTGTTCCAAAAAGATGTCATGCTGTGGATCTATGTCAAGCTCCTCTCGAACTCTGCCTACAAAGGCCAGAGCCACAAGAGGATGGACGCCGATTTCAGTTAAGTGCTCGTCGTTAGACAGCTCCTTGACATTTGCTCAGCCTGCCAACTCCTTTACAGACGGATAATCTTCGAAAAGAGATAAAGGAATGCCAATATCGAAAGACTTGTAGAGGGTACCGATGGTCAAGGACAAAAGGGAGTACACTCTAAAGTCTGCAAAATGGGACTCGTTGCCGAGTTGCCGTACGTCCACTCCAATCTCATCTGAGAATGCCTAGAGAAACTGCCCCAAAATGGAATTGTCTGCTGGAAGAACCTTATTTGGCATAGATGATTGGGCTGTCGCTGTGCTTGGTGGAGGAATAACTGTAGCATGCCCTTCGGGCCTCACGGGGGCTATTTGTAGCAAAGTCTTCTTAGCTGCCTTGTTCTACTTTATTGAAAGTAACCCATCTGTAAGAGGCAAGAATTTGGTTATTTTGAGTCATATATACATCTCTAGCATATGCCGAGTTGTCTTCGCGAATCGGCTGCATCTTCACATATGTTTGGTATGCCACGTCGGTTGTATAAGGCCTGTGATCTCGAGTATTCGCTTGAATGCTTAATCAATCCAGAGATGAA